CGCCACCCCACCCCGCCCCCGTCCCACCTCACCCCGCCCCCACCGCACCCCACCCCGCCCCACCTCACCCCGCCCCCACCCCGCCCCCAGCCCGCCCCACCCCACCCCACCCCGTCCCACCCCGCCCACCTGGAGGTTCTCAACACTCTCAAAATCACCAGCCCCGTCAGGCAGCGGGGTCAGCGCACCCGTAGTCGCATTGTACGACATACCGGCCTGGGCCGCTGCCTTAGCCGCCTTGGCCGCCGCCTCCTCCGCGCTCCGAGTCAGATTGCGAATCTCCTCCTCCAGATTGCTCTGATCTGTACGGCAGTACGATGAGGGAAAAGTGGCCAGGTACGGGTCAGGGAACCTTCAGGGGTTGAGTCAGGAACATGGCGGCGGCGGCGGCGGCGGCGGAGAGGATGCTGACGTGGCGGGGGCCCAGGACGTCCCAGGACGGGAAGGCGGGCGGCATCGGGTGAGGCCGTGAAACGGCGTGAAATGGCTCAGCTCCGCATGTCTAGGGAAATTGGCAGGGCTGGCGGCGTGATGGTCCTGGCCATGAAAATTGGAAGGGTGGCTAGTGGGTAAGGTACCCAAATTGAAATGGCTCTAGTAACTGTTAAAAGGGGCCTGTAAAACGGTTAAACGGTGTGTCCTGCTCGAGGTGCAGTCTGTGTGCCCTGCTACGGTCCGATATCAGGACAACCCGGGCAGCGACAATGGAAGTCTTTCCCCATTTCCTATTTCAGCCACCATCATCAGTAGTTCGGACCGTTAGGTGGGTGCTAGTTCGCTGAGCAGGCACAACCTACCCTCTGCCTGTCCATCAGGATGTACGAACATCATGCTCGCGTCTGCACGGTACGTGGGGGGCCCCTGCGCAGCACACAACGGTCCGATGGCGAATTGCTCGCGTGCAGAGGGCGGCTTGTCAGGGCGCCGGAAACGTCCATAAATGCAAGAGCTCATTATATTATGCAAGGATATACCGTGTATAATAATACTTGGGTGCTAAATAGCCCGCAGTACAAAGCTGCGGTCACATCTCGGTCAAGACTTGCCTGAATCTCAAAAGGATAGGCACTGCGGTTCTGCCATATCGCTGCCGGCATCATCATATTTGTAGCCTGATGCTGCGGTTGTACCGGAGGGACGAATGGGCAATCGCAGACCGCATTCCTGCGTGTTACGGGCGCAAGTCAGCGTCGACAAGCGGTATGGACGGACCGACCCGGCCAAGCTTCCCACTCTCACCCTGTCAATGGACAATGCACATGGTAAGGCACATGTCCCTGGAGCACCGCCTGCTGCATCTTTCCGTTTAGCAACCTAAGCCAGCTTACAACCACTCGGACGTACAAGCCATGGTGAGATTAACTTTCCTTTACAGCAATCAATTACGCGAATGGCAAATATGTTGGCTTCAGCTTGCGTCAGAGCTGAACCGTACGTCGCACAATGTGCCGTATCTTTTCAGTAATTGTCAACACATTTATAAATGTAAGTCACAATGAAAATATAATTCTTTAAACGGAAAAATTACAATCATCAAGATATAAAGCACGGCTTGATGCCTATCCAAGTCCAAGCCCTTGTACGGCGTCACAAACAACCTCGGAAAAGATTTTTCCTGCGATCCTCCCACATACACTCTAACCCGCGAGGTTAAATTCTGGGAAACATATAATCTAAGATGTCTCACTTCGTGTAACTTTGCGTGTTACTTGTATACATACATACATACATGCACGCATGGTCTTGCGGAGTCGTGGTCGCGATTGTTCGAATCCCAAACTTCAAACTCAAGGGCCCCTACGCTCTACGGTACACTACTGGTGCCGTAGCTCCTGCCTGCTTTTACCTCAGTTCCCAATCCATCCGCACCATCAGCCCATCATCATACCAACCATCATACCAATCATCACACCTCACTTCTGCATGAAGGGTGAGCAGTAATGCCCATGCCCCGAGCGGGTTTTCTCCCCCTAGCGGGCCTTAGCTGCACGGCCATGTGCTTCTGCCTATTCACTCATGACCTGAAGTGCTGGCGACCGAATGTTGTACAGCGCTGTGATAGCCGCTGGACGAGCCCCGCCTCCAGGGGGGACTTAAGGCGGGGAGGAGCTGTAGCACCTGCACCTTCATTCCTTCTGTTCTCCCCCTGCATCACGCCGAGGCGTGCAGCCCTCTACGACTGTCCCATAGCGCATTCCGACTGACGGCCACCTCAAGGACAGAACTCCTCTGCATGAGTGCTGTTCATCGCTTCGTCACTTGTCGCTTCGTCCTAGCCAACACAGCACAGGCCACGACGCCGCGACGCCGCATCGCCAGGGCTTGGGGTCCGTAGAAAGCCCACCCCCGGCTTACCTGGTACAAATCAGGTAAAATTATTGCAAAATATTACGTAATTTATCGTCTTTTTACGCTTTTTACGCCTTTCCAGGAGAGCACTGGATACATTTACGGATAAAGTAGCTAAGTGCTTCACGGGTGGCTGGGTTGGGTCGGGTCGGGTCGGGTCGGGTCGCGTTGAATTGGATATTGAAGGCCTCACTTTGGGAGGTTGGCATGCATTACCCTTGGTGTGTGAAGGTGCAGATGTGTCGAAAACTGAAAGCCTAAAACTGCCGGCACTGCATTAAGTGTGCTGGCGTACCTGTGCGTAGCCGATCTTGTAATCCTAACTTACCTAGCCTATCTAGGCTACCTGGGTATCTACCTGCTTTTCATGGAGAATAAGCGAACAGGTCCATAGCAGCCGCATACCGCAGCAGATTACTTATTCCAAATGTATGAACAGTATGATTAATATGGGAGACGTTTGGCGGTGCTCTCAGGGACCAGTTACGCCTTAAGTCACCACATCCTGCCGCTCTCCAACGGAACGTTCCAAGACTGCATAATATAAAGTATCATACTGTTCTGCACTGTAAGTAATATTCAACATGTAACGCCATACCTAGTGAAGTGGTGTGGCTCCGCTTTCCCTTTGACCAGGTCTTTTGGTTGGGGGGATTTAGTAAGCGCCGCATGGCGTGGACGAGCACCATCTTGCAAGAACATGAACCAACGTATTGCTTAGCTTTAAAGGTGTTATCGTTAAAATGCTACTGCTTTCTACGAATAAAGTCGTAGATCACCAACGATTTTGAATGGACATATTTTACAACCATCTTTGTTAATCTGCCGAATTCCTTAATCTGTTCCTTTTACACGTTATCATTTCTTGGTACGCGTCATCCTTGAGGCGTGCTATTGTATGTCGACCATTGCCTATTAATTGCTCTACGGCTAGCAGACGTTAAAGATTCCCAAGGCGTAAACAGATCAACATAGTATCGAGTAAGAGAAAACGCTAATTGACAGGCCCAGCTTCGGCCCAGACAGCTCAACCCAAACACCACGAGTCAAGTCCGCCCTATCCCAGCGCGGCCGCGTGCCGTGCCATGCCTTCCTGGCCTCCCATCCATCTGCTCCAGGAAGGCGCACCCTATCTTTCGCACCCCACCCCTACTTGTTACCGCCCAACTACTCGCATCAGCGGTGCGCTACGCCACAGTGCCACTCCGCAAGCTATGGTCTTCCCGACGACGACCGAATCGGAGCAGCAGCCACAGGGACAACACCACCACAATTACCACCACCAGCAACCCGTTTTGCGAGTTCTTGATCTGTACAGCGGCATCGGTGGCATGCACCACGCGCTACTGCAGGCGCTGAAGCAGCGGCCGCCATCGGGGCACCTGCAGCCGTCAGGCGACACCCCTGAGACGGAACCACCAGGACCAGGACCAGGACCAGGACCAGGGCCGGGGCTTGAGGCTGCTGGGACCCCCCGTCCTCAGCGCCCGTCCCCCCATGTGATCGCCGTGGACATCAACACATCGGTAGGGGGGTGTTGGAATATGACGGATATATGACCCATATTCACAAACAGCGCAATGTGAGCGCAGCGCAGTAATAAATAGAACCCGAGGGGTCCAGCGCTTTGCTATTGTTGACAGGGGCCCTAGCGGGGCCTAGGCGGTGCAGCTGGCGGGAAAAGTGGTGAGGGATAGCTGTAGGTGTAGCTGTGGGGGTATGGGAGGAGAAGCGGGCGGGACCGGTGCAGCGGTGCAGCGCGCAACGGGTGTTGCAAGGAGAGCGGCCAAGGGAGGCGAACCCCTTTCCCGGTGCGTTGCTTCTGTTCCCGCATGTCCGCCCTGGTGGCTGCTTCTTTCCTGTCTTAATGGGCCACATATGCGCTGCGGTGGGGGGCTGGCCTGTGGCTGTAGTGAAGAGCTGTGCCGTGAGTTGCGGGGTGAGCTGGTACCTTCTCACCCTGCTGCTCCCCCTACGTGACTGACGGACTGACGGACCGACTGGCTGACTGGCTGACTGACGGACGGACTGACAGGCAAATCGTATGTACACGGCCGAGTTCGGTATTGAGCCGCTGACTCTGGACTTGGCGAGGGTGGGTCGGTGGGTCGGTGCGGGGGCGGGGGGACCTACCCACCTACCTACCTACCTACCTACCTACCTACCTTGGCGTCCGTCAGGCGGCACCCGGTGGCTATGTCCGGGGCGGGATCGTGTGAGGGCGGCCACGTCATGCCGTACAGAGCTGGCCATGTTGGGACCCTGGGTGGACGTGACACCCGGGGGGGCGGGGGGGCCGGAGGAGGGACGGGTGCGAAATACACAGGAGTGAGGGAGGGGGTGTGTGGGTGAGGGACACGGCCGTGAGGTGGTTGGGGTGGGTTGCTGAACCGCCGTCCTCCTGCTCTCCCGCATTCACCTGTCTCACCCTTCACCATTCACCCCGCCGCCACACACGGCCCCCCTCCCCTAGGTGACAGCTTCCCAACTGGACGAGCAGCTGGCTGCGGACCTGTGGCTGCTCACCCCCCCCTGCCAGCCGTACACCACCACTTCCAACGCACGTCGCCGGGACACAGCTGACCCACGGGCCGCCTCGCTGTTGCACCTAATGTCACCTGCCGTACTGCCAGCCATGCAGCGGCCCCCGACCAGGCTGATGATGGAGAACGTGCCGGGTTTCGTGGGCTCGGATAGCCACAAAATGATGGTGGCGGCGTTGGGTACGGCAGGGTATGAGCTACAAGAGTTCATTGTGTCGCCACACCAGCTGGGAGTGCCGTACTCGAGGTGAGATTGCGTGTATGTGTGTATATATGTGTGTATATGTATGTATATGTGTGTATGTGTGTGTATGTGCGTGTATGTGTATCTGTATGTGTGTGTATGCGTATCTGTATGTGTATACAGATTTGTGGCGGAGATGTGGATGCCGCGTCACCCCATCCGCATCCGCATACTTACCATCATCAACATGATAAACGTCGTCACCAGCACCACCCAGGGTCTCTGCCCCGTCGCCTCCCCATCCCCCCCACCCTGCGGTGTGGTGTGATGCGGCCGTCGCTTCGCAGACCTCGCTACTTTGCACTGGCAGTACGGCGGCCGCTGAGCTTCCCTCGCCAGTACGACTGCAGCCGGGGACCCGTACGGCACCCGCCCGACCTAGAAAGCCCGGACCCAGCTCTGCCGGACCATCAACCGCAAGCCTGCTGCAGTACGGCCAGCAGCAGCGGTACGCCCCTGACAGCCGCGGCCCCCGGCGACTCGTGTCCCCCGGAATCCGCGTCGGCTGCGGAACGTACGGCATGTACGGCAAAGAGGACAGCATGGCCGGGGGTTTACGATGCGGGTCCGGCCGTGTCGGAAGATGATGGTGCAGCACGGGGTGGTGGTAGCCGTACTCCACCACCCCGCTGCCGAACCCCGCTTGCCGAGTTCCTAACCTCCACCTCCCCGGGGCCCCCGCGTGGGGCTCCTCGAGGAAATCAGCTGGGTCAAGGCATGGAGTGTAGGACCAGGCCGGGCAGGAGCCCGGCTACTAGTGAGGAGGTCGGCGCCGGGCCCGCTGCTGACGCCGAAGCCGCCATTGCCACAGCCGCCGCTGGGGCGACCAAGGATGGCGTCAGCAGTAGTGACCCATGGGTCGCGTATGCCGTTTCCGCTGCGCAGTTGGCGCGGTTCTGGCGTGTATTGGACGTGGTGACCCCCTCCAGCACGTACTGCAACTGCTTCACCAAGCACTACACGGACAACCTGTTGGCCGCGGGGTCAGTACTGGCCAGCGAGGACTTCGCGGAGCGTTTCTGCACACGAGACGCACGCGGCCGGCTGCACTTCCCTGAGATGCCGCCGCTGCCCGCGGAGGTGACGACGACGCTAGGGCTAGGGCGGCAGCCACCGCCGTCGGCAGCAGCAGGGGGGGGGTTGCAGGATCCCGCAGGAACTGGAGCTGCAGGAGGGGGGGGAGCATCCATGCACTCGACCGCATCCATGGACTCGGCTGGGATGCATCGCCAGCGGGACCAGGTAATGGCGGTGGACTCCAGAGGTGATGGCGCCGGGAGGGAAGTCCCGGTGGTCTGGAGGCAGCGGCCGCGGGGCCGTGTGGGTATTGGCGGCGGAGGGCGCCGTGCTGGGCTGGGGCAGGCCGTCGTGGCTGACCGGGGCACGGGCAGCTCGCAGGGCCAGTTACAGCAGCAGCAGCCGCCGCCGCCGCAGCAGCAGCAGCGGGCTGGGGAAGGGGCTGGGGGGCAAGCGGGCGAGGCGCATGCGGAGGCAGTGGTGCTCGGCCTGCGGTTCTTCAGCCCGGATGAGGTGGCGGCAATTCACGGTGTGCGGGCGGACTGGGCCGCTAGGGCGAGAGCTGCGGGGTTGCAGCCACGCCAGCAGTACGCTTTGCTTGGGAACGGCCTGAGCGTGGACGTGGCGTCGTACTTGTTGACGTACTTGCTTCAGGCACAGTGAGGAAGGGGATTGCGGCTTCTGCTAATGTCGCAACACACGGAAAGGCGTGCTGCTGTTGGTTGTTTTTCACGCTGTCACCAGTACGTCACCAGTACGTCACCAGTACGAAAAGCCATATTGCTGAGTTGAGGATTGTTGAAATGAAGTTTATGTGGGAGCGGACTTTCGACCGACCAACCGATCATGTGCGTGCGTGAGTGAGAAAGATCACCCAGTCTTCGGGCCCCCCCTCCTCCACGGGTATGCATGCATCCCAGTGCATGCATATTCGGGCGCTGTGTGTCACCTCGATGCATAGGACTTGGTTCTCACCACCGTATGAGCGAATAGCCCCTCAGCCAGCCAGTCCTGACGTGTCCCTTCTGTGGTGTGGCTGAGAAGCGAAGGGACGCCTGTTACCAGCATATCGGTGAGTCTGTGGGATTACGTTTCCATACCCCAGTTCTGCGCACGTCGCAGCCGGAAAAGGGTACTTTTTTATTTTACTTACGCCCTGATTCGCTTCACGGAACGACGATAAAGTAGCTATGGGTGGCCGCCTCATCGTACATTCGGGCCCACCTCCCTAATGTGCGGTGGTGTTACAGCTGGGGTGAGGGAGGGTTGAGGTCCCATGTTGGTCACGGTGAGTGAACCCGATGCTTAGGTTCCCGTGCTCCTGGTTGATGGGCTCCGTGGGGCAGGATTGCAGAACGAAATGATAATGCAGGACCCTTACCATTATCCCGTACCATTTGTGGCATTTGAGCATTCCGCCAGCTGCTATCCAAATGTGTGTGTGGGGGAGGTTGTGTGCCTTGCGACTATTAGCTCGCTAAATTATGGTCGGGGTTTGCTTTTGCGGGGTCGGGGTTTGCCTTGAAGACATTATTATGGCACCGTCTGCAGCGGCCCGCAATCGCGTTTTTTGCGTTGTGGTCATTTCTGATTTTTGGGCCCGATTAAATGATTTGGAGCCCGGGAGCAAGTGCACACTCACCGCTCTGCACCCCTCCTATCACCCCTGCACCCCGCAACCCTTTCCTATCAGTCAACCTTGCGAACAAACTTACCATCTGCCATTTACCGGTCAGTGATTGACAGAGAACCAGGCCTGCTCCTAACAATTGAGAAGCTATTAAGCTGACTTTACTCGCCGAAATACTTGCGTATGCACAGAGGATCGGGATTTCAATCTCAACTTAGACTTACAATGTTCATAATTTGGTCCGCTTAAATAGTCATGCTAGCGCGCCACAACCTCAAACGTCGTACACACAGGTTCTAGCTCCGCTAGCTCCGAAGTTACGACACGGTCTCACACGCACTCGTGAACTGACTTCAAAACATTTACACACTCCCCTTCTTAAAAACTAGCACCGTCCTCGGTGTGAAGGGAAAGTATTAAGTATCATTAAGCGGCCAAAGTCGTGCGCCGCTCCGATTCCCTGAACGAAATCGGTACCAGGCTAACGAGGGGAGGGGAAACGGGAACCGGAGTCAAGGCAAAACCCTCCCCGCACTGGATACCGGCCTAAAGTGACCGACTCCTAGCTTTTCCGGTTTAAGTATCCGGAGACACGCACAAGGTGCTACGAAAATGACTATAATCTGTACTACCCGGAGTCCATACGTTACAAAACACGTTAAATGCAATAGCAAACCGACATCAGACGGACTGGTAGTACTCAACCGGCAGGAACAGAATGAAGACTTGAATACAGACATACCGAACACACATGATGAGACACACACACACACACATTCAGCCGCAGCTCTATTCCGCTAATAACTGTACAATCCTTGGGGCATGCTCCGGGAACTTCGTTCTGAACCACGCATAGCCATCTGATAGCCTGAATGCGGTCCAGCTTGGGCTCCTCAGGAAGGCACGAAGCGCTGGCCTGGTGTGCACGTCGTCGTATGGTTCCCATGAGGGGTCGCGCCTACTACCTATGGACCGCTGCACGAGGAACATGACGGACGGACGTGCGCGCTTGTTGTACCCTAGGCGGACAGCTGTGACGACGGTATCTGCACTGTCATAGGGGGATTCCAGTGCAGTAGGGGCTGCAGGTGGGGGTGGTGGGCGGCCGGGAAAGAGCACTGGATCGTTGTCAGTCCAGGGGGGAAGGCGGCTGATGTGGAATACTGGATGCAGGCTGTCACGCCTATGACGTGCTAACAGACACAAGAAATGCGGATGGATCACGTGACAAGGCGGCCGAGGGAGGCTGGAAGGTTGAGGCGATACACAACTGGGGAAATGACGGAAGAGATGAGGAAGGAAGGGGCCGAGGTAGCGAGGGCGGAGTTTTGGGGAGGGGTAGGTCGGCAGGGTGAGGTGTTCTGTGGACAGTCAGACGCGGTCGCCAACTTTGAAGGTGATGGTGCAGCGATGCTGCGGCAGTGTAGCGGGTTTTGGCGGCTTGGATTTCGCGGTTAATGGTGGCGTGGATGTCGTTCATACGCTGCTGTACCTCTGTAGCCTGTGGGTGTGAGGAAGGTGATGCGGCTTGAGGGCCGTGGAGGGAGATGGGGAGTGTGAGGTTGGTAGCCACATGATTGGCGTAGAATGGTGTCATCCCAGTACTTGCGAGGGTGGCGTTGTTGTACGCTGCTTCGGCGATTGGAAGGTATGTTGTCTTGCATAGGTTGGATGTAAGCATGGAGGATCTGTTCATTAGTGCGATGTGTTCTCTCGGTTTGACCGTCTGTTTGGGGGTGGTAGGCGGAGGAGGTGTTAAGGGACGTGCCAAGGTGCTCCCAGAAGGTGCGCCAGACGTCGGCCATGAAGCGGAAATCTCGGTCTGAGACGAGGGTCATCGGAAGACCGTGTAGACGGTAGACGTGGGTGAGTTATGTCCTATAGCCTTCATGGCTTGCTGTACGGTTGCGTTCGGGGTGTCGGATAGGACAGGGCGAGGCGAAACCGGGGCTGCCAAGGGCCTTACACTACTGCAGAGTACTAATTGCTGCTCTCGGAGCGCCAGGGCGCGTGTGCGCCGAAGCGCGGTCTAGCGCCACACGGCGCGGTCTGAGCGCGCGCAGCGCTGTCCAGCGCGGCCACACCGGCACGGCCGAAAGAACTGACGCACAGCACTAGACAACTAAACGCAGCATTAATGACTGCGTCCACTGGTCACCCGCCCCGAGGGCAAACCTGAAGCGTCAGCGACGCACGAACCACACCCTGGCCAGCGGGGCTGGCCAGGCGACATTCCTAGCGCGCGACGATACTCTATAGGCACTTATTTGCCGTGCGGTAATCGCTGTACAGCTGCACGTCCGGCGCTCCGAGGGGACTGCCTAATCACCGGTCTCCAACTGGGCCGAGCCTGCCGCTTATAAACGAGGGACACTGAGGGCGGGGGGGGGGAAGTGAGAGCAACAATAATAATAAGCTCCAATAGTGTAGGCAGAATGCCGGAACTATGGAGCTGTCAGCTGAAATAGTAAATTCGAATTCTCAGCAAGCCATACGGCTGCCGTACATAACCTAGCTTAGAGGCTATACTCGCTTTGCTCCTGCCGCATCTAAGCTACAATTATGTCCTATAGCCTTCATGGCTTGCTGTACGGTTGCGTTCGGGGTGTCGGATAGGACAGGGCGAGGCGAAACCGGGGCT